ATGCAATGGTGGACTGGTTGGTTCATAATCAGATACAATTCAAAATATTGGTGAAAACCTATAAAGCCCTATATAGCTTTGGTCTAGGCCAGGGGTCCTCAAACCAAGGCCCGAGGGCCGGATACGGCCCTCCGAGGTCATTTATCTGTCCCTCGCTCAAGATCAACCTAAGTCTTGAAAGCACACAACAACAACAACAATAATAACAATCCTATTTCATCAGCCAAAAGTAGGCCCACACTTCTTGTTGGAATACTAATAAGTTTATATTTGTTAAAATTGTTCTTCATTTTAATTATGGTATTGTTTTTAATTGTTTTGTGCACTAGAAATAAGATATGTGCAGTGTGCATAGGAATTCATTCATGTTTTTTTTTTCAAATTATAATCCGGCCCTCCAACAGTTTGAGGGATTGTGACATGGCCCTCTGTTTAAAAAATTTGAGGACCCCTCGTCTAGGCTATATGAGGGTCCATAAATGAGACCACTAGAGGTCTACCAGGAAAGATACTTCTCTCTGTTCTACCATCTTCTCAAGATAATTTGGTGAGTTTTTCCAGGCCTACTCTGAGACTTTGGAATTTTTTTGCTCATGAACAAAAAAACTTGTTATTTCAAGTGGCTTTTAGTAATTAACTCAGATGAGCTTTTATGATGTTCTGTATATAGTCTTTTGATGTATTTTGCGGTTTTAACTGTATAATTGTTAAATTGGTTTTAAAATAATGTTTCTATTTATATTTTTGCATTTTGCATTTTAGTCTGTATTGTGTTTATTAAGCTTTCATGACTTTAGAATAAGGGAAAAGAGAATCTCACATTTGCAGAAATGCCTTCCAAGCCCAAACCTATTCATCATATTTTCCAATTCAGGTTGGCAAATACAAACTGAAGTCCCTACATGATTTCCAGTCCTTGACTTGCATCCACTGCTAAGAAAAAAGAGTGGAGCTTGGATGCCAGCCTTTTCTTTGCCTTGATCAGACACATATGGCTCTAGCCTTTAACCAGGGAGGTGCAAAGGAATGGTAGACGTATTGCACTCTTGGGGTTGCTAAACAATTCCCTTCGATTATGATAATGGATAGCCGGCTGTTTGGGACTTTGCTTCATTATTGGCATACTTATAACAAGAAGTAACTGTGGAACCTTGACCACTTTTCAAGGAGTTTCATGTGAATTTATTGGGACCAACAATTTGGCCATCATGATCCTTCCATTCAATTCAGATTTCTTCAGTTTCACAAAGATCATAAGGAGTGGATGAGCGAGACAGATTTGAAGTGTATAACTTTGCCTATTTCATTCCCATAGCCAAAAACAAACAATTAGATTTATCTTCCCAATTCTCTGAGGTTTTATGAAAGTATGAGTGCTATTCATCCTTTGGCAAATCAATGGGGGGAAATTTACTTGTGCAAAAACACCTATGCTTCTCAGCTACAGAAAACATGCATTTGGGCTTTGGAAACCATGTGTCTTGTGCAGAATGGCATTGATTCCAGCACAAAAATGTTGCCTATTTTGTACAGGAAGAAACATTTTTTTCTGCAAATGATAGTATTTCTATGTGTAGAAGTACTATTTTTATATATATTGCTGTGCCTAGGAACTACACAAGAAACCACTTGTCAGTGTATAATTCTTCTTTCTCAACACTCAAAAACCATGGTTTTCCCCTCAAATATTTTAGAATATTCTTTCCACTCCTAATCTCAATTATCAGGACACCCTTTTGTCATTGACATTGTGAATATTAATGAGTATTCTTCACAACCCTACTGCAGAAAGACAAGATGCTTCTTTGCATACTGCATATTTGTCAGGAGGAAGAAAAGTCAACACCTCACAGAAAATATATGTTAAAAAAAGAGAAATTGCCATGGCATTCATCCATGTATTCTATTACAAATGCATAGGCATTTGTTAAGCTTTTATTATGGCATCCTAAATAAAAGAAACTCAAGAGAGAATAGAAAACAAGATTTCTGCATCTCTCATTGTTGATTCATCACTTGTTTGAACTAGTTCTAGGACTGTGGATTGCTAGAAATTCTAGGAATACTAGAAATTGTGGGACTGAAGGAAAAATTCATGGGAGAGAAGGAAATTTTTATTTAAGGATATAATGCCCTCATTTTGCTCCTCATAACTAAAGACTTCTTCTGGTCAGGGATGCCAGACTCAATGCGTCCCATCTTCTCAGTCCCTGTCATTGAAGAAATAAAAGGGAAGAATGGAAAAAATGATAAATGGCTGTGGCTATGGTGAGGGATGTTAAAATGACTACTGCCATTATTGGCTTCCCTTCTTCCAGCTTCCATGGCAAGGAGAGTGTTGAGAAATGTGCTTGAATACCTGTGTTCAAGCTGGGTCGACTTTAGCTCGGAGGCTAACCCTGATTTGACTTCTCCTATCAAAGAGAGAAGTTACGGTGGCTGTGTGGGATCTATCATTTATACTTCTTCTCACTAAACCCAATTCATTTTTCTTTCTGGCACTGCATGTTATATGTATATAACATGCAGTACCATAAAGTCACCTGGTGGCTTATGGTCATCTCATGAATTTCATAGTTTTTTGGCAAGGAGATGGCATTGTCAGTTCTGTCCTCTGAAATACAGCCTACAGCACCTGGTTTTACTTGTCAAACGCTCATCCAGCTCTCCCGTATGCTTTATCTTACTGTTGTAGATGTTTTTTACTTTGGATATTGTTACTTTTTAAGGACTTTTAAGGAAAAGCATACAGTGGACCCTTGGTATCCACTAGGACTAGGATTCTAGGACCCTTTATGTATGCCAAAATCTGTGAATGCTCATTTTATACAATGGTATTGTAAAATGGTGTCCCTTATATAAATGGCAAAATCAGGGCTTGCTGTTTGCAGGGGTTCAGCCTGTGATTGTCTCTTTGCCGCAGGCTTCTGAGGAGAATGATCATGAGTCTGCAGAGGTTCCAATGTCTGAGTGAAATGATCAGGTTTCTGCTGACTCGGAGGGGTTTGTTAATAGAGATGATAGTCAAGAGAGTACAGTTAGACAGAGTGAAACTGAGGATTCTGGGATAGCTGTTCACAAGGCAAGGATGCTTCAATGCTAACAGAAAAAGAGGCTGAGAAGGTTGAACGACCAAGGCCAAATAGTGATACTGATAGTGAAAGGAATGTGCTAATTGGCAAGCCGAGAGAGGACCAGACACTCTTTGATAGGAGAAGTCAAATCAATCAACATTGCCATCTGGAAGGGGGTAGAAGACAGTCCGAAAGATCAAGAGAAAAAAGAGGTCAGGGAGAGGTTTCCCAAGGGAAACCGAATGCTTTTGCTATGGCTTTCTGAATAAATATAGGGACTGTGCATCTATACTCTTCAGTGAGTTCAACGTTTGATTTTCATGTGTATTCATGCCTTTTGTTTCATGCCTGGTATCCATGCCATCTTGTTCATGCTAAGATTCCTGTTTACTTCTGCCTGGGATTCATGTTCATGCTTAGATTCTTGTATGCGGTTTGCCCTGGTTTCAGACTCCTGCATTGGGATTTAATGGTTCAAGTTTGCTGCTCTTTCTTCAAGGGGCTTTGGTCTTTTGCAATCTTTTGGAACTGAAAGACTCTAACTAGACTTGATCATTGGATTTTTGCAACCCTCCTGGTTCCTGACTGATAATTGACTGTCTTATTTTACCTTGCTCAACCGACTGTTTTGTGGACATCTCTTTATTACTTGTTTGTATGCTTTTTACCTTTTTCGCTATTGCTATATTAATCCCCAATAAACAAAGAGGTATTTATCTTTTGATTTTCCATGGTTAATGGTCAGGATGTGAGTTGACCATTCACTACAAATTAACAGGATGAAGTCTTTCATTCTTGCTGGGATAAATCTGTATTCCAAGGAACTACACACTATCTTATTATACATGCACATAACCACACACAATGCCGTTTGCTATTGATAAAACTGTGTAAAAAAGCACAATATAATTCAGACGTTGTGCATGGCTGCTCAAGAAGCACAATTGCATTTTCTCTGTCAAAATATAAGCCACGAATGCTATCCTGAAAATTAAAACCTAATCTAGTATACTGGCAGATATGAATATTCAAAATAATGAATACTGTTTCCTTGTTGAAAACTGATGAACAGACCCCATCCCTTTCCCCCCTGCCCGTCTTTTTTTTTTTTGATGATGGGAAAACTCATTAGAAATGTGATGTTATTAGCAGTTTCTCTTGAATTGCAAATTTCTATCATACTATAACTAGTATTATGGTAATGATGAAATTAAATTAAATTAGCATATCATATAATATACAGAAAAAGTGTTAATACATTTTAGTAATACAAGACAACAGTTAATTGCCAGCTTAATAAGAATTTGTCCGCCAAAAAGATCAGCTGGCTCATGTCTTCTTTCCATGAGCTTTTGAAAATTTGTGCTACAAAGCCAACCTCAGGTTATACTTAAGCAAATAAAAAGGATGCCCATATGTTTTTTCAGTGAGATTTTCAAAGATTTGCCTAAAACATCTATGGCTTGGCCAGTTTTGAAGCACTATGTATCATGAAAACATAGTTTTCATATGGCTGCATTTCACTGCATTCTGTATGGGCCGGACTATATATTACAGTGAATAACCATTTCCTTAGATTAATCTGCTTTTCCTCTCACAAAATGGCAAGTGTGCCAGCGGTCAGACTGGCAAGTTAAAGGATACTTACCTCCTGATGGTCAATCACAAATCAAAACATGTTAAATTCAAGATGCACAGGTGCATGCTGCTATAACAAATGATGTATTTAACCATTCAAATTAGTACCTTTTCTAAAAATGTGCTGAATATATTGCCTAGTTTTGTCCTAAGACTCCTTCATCCTGATTGTGTGTATATTATTGAAGATTATTATTATTATTACTATTATTATTTCTTACTACAGCTTTCTTCAAGTACATTGATGTCTGTTTAAACTGTTGCCTTTTTTCCCTTTTGTTCTTTCAGTTCCACCATGGTTTATCAATCATCCTTCAAATCTCTATGCCTACGAGAGTATGGACATTGAGTTCGAATGTGCTGTCTCTGGTAAACCAGTCCCTACAGTGCAGTGGATCAAGAATGGAGAAGTCGTCATTCCTAGTGATTATTTTCAAATAGTGGTAATTATTTTAAAATTGTTACACAACCAAAAGAGTTCAAGACTTTCCAAAAGAGAGTAATAGTGACATCAAAATTAGCATTAAGTGATGCCTTCTATAGACACTTTTCCTAAAAAAAATTCCATAGGAAGCATCCTCTTAAAGAAAGTTTATTCAAAGGCTTTGGTGCCCCCTATTTCTTCTCACTACTTAAGGTTGTTTTTTCTGAGTCAGGGATGATAGCCAATCAACAAGTAGACATGTTGACATCACAATGTCATGCAGTCAACCAGAGGTACTATTTATGTATTCTTATTGTTAACTGAAACAAGAACAGAATGACCAATTGGGGACTTCTGGCCAATCAGGGATCATTCTAAGAATAAAATACTTTTTTAAAGTAATATCTAAAAGCTAGGAAGAGGACCACAATGATTCTGACCTTTTCTGTGAAACAATCAGATGCACCGAACTACCCACTAACTCGTTTAGCTGTTCCTTGTATCCATGCATATTGCCTCTGAATTGATCAGCTCAGATGACATCAAGGTTGACACTCATCAAAGACATGCATAGTCATCATGATGATTTACTTAGATCTCCCTTCCTTAGCTAAACCACCTTGAGTTGCCGAATAGGCTGAGAAGGGCGGTATACAAATACAGTAAATAAATAGCTTCTAAAGCTTCTAGTCAACAAGACTAGAATACTTGGGTGTCATGACTGAGTTAATCTTGAATCTAAACTAGATTAGTAAATCAATCAATTTTCACATTTAAGCACTAGTTTTTTAAATTACCCCTTTTTAAAAAAAGCACCCATGTTATATGTGAAGACTAATTTTAACTCATATGTAGTTTGATCATGAATGTATTTTTTCCTAGTGTTTTCTTATAAACAGCAATTTAGGTTTTTAAGACTGATAACAGGTTGTAGGAAATCTTTAGAGATAACTCTACATTGAATGTCTGTCACTATCTTTAAAAACCTCTGGATTTCAAACTTCAGATTGTTGTGGGACTTTTTTGGGTAAAATATAATGGTGTATGGTTAGGTCTCACAGAGTATGCTATATCCTAAAACCAGAATGTGAAATCATTACTTTTGGGGACTAGAACTTCCAGCACCACTTATGACACTCCCACTGTGGACATTCACTGCAAGGAAATCTATCTGGGTGCTTCTATACTATAGAATTACTGCAGTTTGACACTGCTTTAACAGCCATTACTCAGTACTACGGAATCATGGGAGCTGCAGTTTTACAAGATCTTTAGCCTTCTCTGTCAAAAAATGTATAACTGCAAGGATTCCATAGCATAGAGCCATGGCAGTTAAAATGTATAGTGTAGATGCCCCCTACCTTGAGGAAGCTTCATCCTCTCTTTGAAGAACCTATTATAAGTTTTGTGGATGTGTCAGTGAAAAGCATTGCCATAAAACAATGATCTTCAGTTTGTGACTCATGGTAGCAGAATTATTGATTTTTATCCTAACTAAATATTATAACATATTCACCATAGAAAATTAAGGGGGGATTAATAAGTTTGACCCTTCACTTCAGTCCATAGAAATAGGTTGAAGGAAACTAAGCTAGACCACCAACCTTTAGTTCTCCAAAAGCTTTGGACTTCATTTCCCAGAAGCTTCACCAAGTATGGCCATTATCAGGGATTCTGGGAAGTCCAAAACATCTGGAGGAGCCAGTAAGAACAGAGGAAGGCCATATTCCAGATGGATAGACAGAATCTGGGAAGTCAAGACCAGGGCAGGCCTTTTGAGGACAGAAGGACTTTCATTCATAGAGTCACCATAAGTCAAAACTTCATGGAGAAGGTGCAATTACAGATCCTAATCTATTGTGTGCCTAATATCACGGCTCTGTACATACAATGTCAGGTATTTGAAAATGCTTTCTCCCTTTGAGAAGTACTCAACTAGAGTTTAGTAAACACATTGGCCAAGTGATAATTGCTTCTCCCCGTAAAGACTTTGCTTTGAGAGGTTGAGCTTATAAATCAGCTTGCTTATGCAGTGCCCCTTTCCTAATTAATGCTCCTTCTATTAAGTGAAATTGACAATGATTATCTAAATTAAACCTGTTCTAGTTCATAAAAGGCTGAGGCGCTTTCTCCATTCTTTTCAAAGAAGATTTACTCTGCGGTATGAGCATCCAAGTTCAGGCAACTTTACTCACCATTGCTGTTTATAATAAAGACAATCAGGCAGTCATAACTCTGCTTGCCAAGATGTGGAAAATTTCATTATGTAATTGGAAGAAGGGCAGATATATCCTTTCAGAATCTTCCTTTCAGAGAGGAACATTTTAATAAGGGGCATCATTCAAAGCAGAACATAAAAAATAAAATTGAATCAAGAATGGTGCCAAAAGTACTCCCTCAAAAGCCAAAGTTATGCAGCATCACTTATTATTACCTGCCAAGAGTACCTGCAAGATTAAATCCTGCCCAAGTATTGTCGATATATAATCACACACCTTCTCCCAAACTTTGTGGCTCTTTAAATCCTCCTAGGTCTCAGTGGAGATGACCTTCAAATCCTTCTTCTTAATCGGAAGTATTTGCTTTAATTTTCAACTCACAACACAATGAAATTTATCAGAACAAATATGTAATACAGCCTCCTTTAATGTCAAATTTAAGTGATTTTAAGTATTGTGTAAGGGTTTGGAACTAGTTTTCTACATTTGCAGTATTGTTATTACTTCTAGCCAGTCCAATTCTTGGCAGCTGAGTGAACAATGGGAGTCAGCACATTGTTTAAATGAGTGTGCATTTTACAACAGTCCTCTAAAGGCTGGGGAAGATAGTTGTGAATGGCTGACTGTATAATTGTACCTTACCTTCCACAGGTTCTTTTAAGCAAAGTTTTATGAAAGCCAATCTTCTCTGAAAAATGTTGTTTTAAATGGTTTCTTTCAGTATTTTCCAAAGCCACATTCCAAAAGAGAACTGCTAATATTGTGAAATAAATAAATTTATGGGTTTTACTTTTGCAAAATTGATTATTCATGGAATCGTGGGATCCTAGAGTTAGAAGACCCCACAAGGGCTATCCTTCCTAACCCCCTGCCATGAAGGAATACAGAATCAAAGCACTCCCGGTAGATGGCCACTCAACCTCTGCTTAAAAACCTCCAGAGGAAATTCCACCATGCTCTGAGGTAGCAAAGTCTTCCAGATTGCTGGAAGTCAACCATATTGTTGTGCTGGAAACTATCTAGGAAACTCTAGATCCTCCAGCACAACTCTGTGGTCAGCTTTTAGCAGAAATTAATGTCTGAGTTGTATTGGAGGATCTATATTCCCAAAATAGTGTTCTCTCAATAGCAGTTTTCCAATTTTATGGGTGCTCTGCACCTCTTCCTCCAGTGAATGTGGAAGGCTGACTGTAACTGGTTGAAAGTTATCCTGCTATGCTCACATAGAATCTCTAGTGATTGAAACAGGATTTCCCTCTAAGAGACATACATAGGAAGCCCTTTACAATTGTCTTATTTATTATGGCTTAACTTGAAACTGGAAATTTTGCTGGACCATAACTCTCAACATAATCATCCCTGGGTCATCTGAGGTTACAAAGCCTTCAAGATAGCCCTAATTTTAGTGGAAAATAAACATTTTCCCATGAGGATGAGGGTATTGAGGGAGGTCTGTGGGAGCCAAAGGGTGGCCCAGGGATAGGAGCTGCAAGCAGTCTTGTGACCTATATTTTGCCCATCCTTTCCCTGCAAAATTGTAGTATCAAGATGATCTCATCCAATTCAGCCTTGACTTGATCTAGGAAAGCTATTCCTAGTCTGAGCTGTGCTTCTAATTTTCTAGGAAGGATGCACCACTATTTTCTAAGGCTGTCAATCTCTCTGTCAAACAGCTCACATCACCAGGAAGTCCTTCCAGATCTTTAGTCCAAATCTCTTGTAATATGAACTCAGTGGGTCTCTTCTATCTGAAGTGTGTGAAACCCATCTTGAGATAATTCTCTCTGCTTCTTTTTGTCTCTCTAGGGTGGCAGCAACCTGCGAATTCTGGGGTTGGTAAAGTCAGATGAAGGCTTTTACCAGTGCATAGCTGAAAATGATGCCGGAAACGCACAGACCAGCGCACAGCTAATCATCCCTGAGCCTGGTAAGATGAAAAGGATATGCAGAATTTCTGTCTTTAATTAACAGGATTACCAGAGCCTTGAACCATGTGACCCTCACCGGCCTCTGACCTTTTGCTAGCGGTAGTGCAATTGCATTCGGTAGTCTATAGCAAGCCCAGCAAGTCATCATTCATCTTTGTGTGCCATCTGTTTTCATTTCAGCAGAAATGCAATGTGCTCTGCCCTTGGATCAACTACTAAAAGGGTTCATTAGAGATGCAGAAAATATTCCAATACTATCCCTCCATTGCCTCCTTAGAAGGAGGAAATCATACTACTGCTATGCAGAATCACGTCTGTGTTTTATATGTTGCCTACTGTTTTTATCATTTGTCTTGCTCTATGATACAGTGTGGACATATATTGAGAAGGTAAAAGAAAAGGCCAAGACTGACAACTGCACTAGTAAATCCTTCATCTCCTTATGAACATATCTTATCCTTCCCTGCAATGATGAAAATATGTGGTGTTGTAAAGAAAATGACAGCAGTGGCTAACTGCTTCTATGTGAGTGAAGCAATTAATCTGTTCAGTATCTTGAATCCAAACTTTAAAAGGACAATTCACAAGGTTGGGTTCCTGTGAGTTTTCCAGGCTGTATGGCCATGTTCCAGAAGCATTTTCTCCTGACATTTCACACACATCTATGGAAGGCATCCTCAGAAGTGAGGTCTATTGGAAACTAGGCAAGTTTCCACCTAAGCCTAGTTTCCAACAGACCTCACAACCTCTGACGGTGCCTGCCATAGATGTGGGTGAAATGTCAGGAGAGTATGCTTCTGGAACATGGCCATACAGCCTGGAAAACTCACAGCAATGCAGTGATTCTGAACTCACTCCTGACATGGAAAAAAAACAACCTTAAAATAGATTCAGCCCTCAGGACAGCTCCTTTATATTTACCATACCACTGACATATAAGCCTGCAGCTGACTCAAGCAAGTGAAATATCACAGAACCAGAGTGATACTGCTTAGTCTAATAAAGATTGCTCTTCAATACAAAAACCTGGGTAAAATGATTGAATGGCAGAAACTGATTGGTTTCCTCAATATTATTGGGTAAGGAAGCAGCAAAATATTTGCAACAGATACCATTGGTATCTGCTGGAGTTTGGTTCCAGGCCCTCCCATGGATACCCAAATCTATGAAAGAAACAATGCGGCAAAAAATAAAATGGCAAAATCAGCATTTGCTTATGGTTGAATTTGTGGATGCAGAATCCGTGGATATAGAAGGTTGGATATATAATCATTTTAGGCAATACCATGTTAGTCTCTTGTAATTTAAGAAGGAAAGGGGGGCAGAGGTGGAAAGAGAAATTAACAGTGCCTTTGAGGCTAATTAATTTAGTTAATGTTGCAATATACATTCACTACTCTGAAAGGTGCTGCTAAATTCCCATTTCCTTTCCCTTTTTATTGACTAGCAAAATCCTAGGCACTTCTCATTGTTTCAGATAGCAACGTTAAATTGTTCCCCTCCTCAGTTAGTTTGTTATGGGACTGTTTGTTTACATATTACTCATATATCTCTGTTGAAATTCAGTTTTTGGTAAGCTTCGAAATAAATACAATTTAGAAAAACAGTTATGAACAAATAGATTAGAGAGGCAGTGGCATAAGACCAATTCCACCTTTGCTCCTCTCCTTTGGAAAATCAAAAAGACTCAAAATAGTCTTAAGTCACTGAAGCTATTCATCTTTAATTATATTCATAGAAATGTAAATCAAGGGCTAATTCACACAAATATTGTGGCATATATAATTTTCAAAAATATGATAGTGGTGATGCTGGTTTAATTTGCTGTTTAACCTTGCAGTTGTTTCTTCAAGTGTCCCATTATTAGATATGAGAGAGGGGACAGAATGTCCAATAGTTTTAGTAAATAGTTCTCATTGCAAACACAAGAATCTCATAGCCACCTTGGAGGATTATGGGAGTAAACACCCAAATATATGATTTCCCCATACTATATTATTAAGGGTTTTCTTTTCTTGGTGTTGTTGGGATTCCTGAGTTTTCTAGAAAGTAAAGACACTGTGATTTCAGTATGCTTATTATTCTGGTCACATGTTTCCAAATAAGAACTCACAAAAAGTGTGAATGTGTTTGTTATCTCATTCAACAAGAACACAATTTTTGAAATTCTTTATTCATTCATAAGGCCATAGCTTAGTGGGTTTCTTAGAAGCACCATCAAGAAAGCATCTGTGTTAGCTGAGTTATCCAAGTATAATTCAGATTATCATAGTTAAGTAGTGGTCTACTACGCCACTCTTCTGTGTATTCTACAACCAATGACATAAATGTTAATGTGCTTGCTTTGTCTGCAGCCCCAGCAAAACAAATAGTACATAGAAGACACTTAAATGCATCTTTGAATCATAGAATCAAAGAGTTGGAAGAGACCTCATGGGCCATCCAGTCCAACCCCCTGCCAAGAAGCAGGAATATTGCATTCAAATCACCCCTGACAGATGGCCATCCAGCCTGTTTAAAGGCTTCTAAAGAAGGAGCCTCCACCACACTCTGGGGCAGTGAGTTCCACTGCTGAACGGCTCTCACAGTCAGGAAGTTCTTCCTCGTGTTCAGATGGAATCTCCTCTCCTGTAGTTTGAAGCCATTGTTCCGCGTCCTAGTCTCCAAGGAAGCAGAAAACAAGCTTGCTCCCTCCTCCCTGTGGCTTCCTCTCACATATTTATACATGGCTATCATGTCTCCTCTCAGCCTTCTCTTCTTCAGGCTAAACATGCCCAGCTCCTTAAGCCGCTCCTCATAGGGCTTGTTCTCCAGACCCTTGATCATTCTAGTCGCCCTCCTCTGGACACATTCCAGCTTGTCAATATCTCTGAAGAATGAGCAACTTTGTGAGACTCAGCTTTCTGCTTAATTCAGAGGCCATGGCCAAAACCACTTAATGTAAGGCTAAAAGGTCACTCAGTGGGTTTCATAACCAAGAGGAGATTTGAACCCTGCTCTCCAAGATCATAGTCCAACACTCAAACCACTGCACCATGCTGACTACAAGGCTGCCCGTCAAACTATGATAACTACATAAATTTCATAGGATTATCTTAGGCTAGGAATCCTCAGAAGTGATTTTGCCCGTTCCTTCCTCTGAAATATAGCCTACATCTCTTGATATCCATAGGTAGTCTCACATTCAAGTACTAAACCTATTTAGTTTCCAAGATCAGATGGGATTTCATTCATTTAGGGTGTTTAGGCACCATTATAATTATAATGCTCCAAAACAATTCTTTACTTCTATGTTTCTGATTAATAATTAAAATAGTTCCTTTGCTATTTACTTTTAAAGAAGGTTTCAATACAACACACTGTTGGCTTATGTGGGGCACTCAATATAATACAATACAATACAAGACTTTATTCTGATCGCTGACCAGCAAAGTGGGGTCAATCAGCTAGGGAAAAAAAGAGAGATGTCATTTTATTCCTTCCTAATTCTCTCAATCTGTTATAAAAAATGTTCCTTCCTCTTTAGAATATCTATGTTTATGTTACTTAACTTCCTTGGTCATTTCTCTTAAAGAGATGCTATCCCAAAGAGGAAGGAGAGAGACCATTGTTGACCAAGCAAACCAAAAGGATGCTATATAAATCACTACAAATGACACCTGGAGGTTCCAGTATTGACAGTCCATGGCTGCTCTTTGGACCTGTTCTCTTTATCGTGCTCTAGCTTAGTGTAAAAGCAAACTTAAATGAAGAAAAGCCCTAAAGAACAATGGGAACACCACTGTAAACTGTCTCCAATCCCCCCTTTATAAATGATGTATTGCTTTTCCTGAGCTATTTAATCAGATCATTCAAACAATGGCACTCTGATTCCTTGGAGATCTTGCAAATAGTGACATGCACAGATGGTAGGGGACCCAGATCTAAATACAAATAAAGAACTGGGCATAACCACAGTGGGAAGAACATAGCTCTTTCTGTTTAATTTTTTTATGTGTGTCAATAAGGAGGCACCATCTCTTTCTCACATGGTGTGAGCACTGTATACCACAGCTGTTCTCTTTGAGCCTGACCACAGGCAACACAGACAGGGAGTTACCCCTGGCAACTGTGACAATCTGCTGTGCGCTGAGGCCTGGACAATGACCCATTAAAATCACCATTTGCTGTTGGTGAATATTTATGGGGGCCTCTAATGAACTTTCAATACAGTCTCACAAGTCGTGGCCAATATGTCCTTTTTCAATCATGATGTTCAATGAAAGGCCAGGGAAAGTGACTTGCAAAAGACTGTTGTCCCATGTTAAAACAGAATCAGGTTCCAACACATATACACATATACACACAAACTCTAGTAAACTCTAGTGGGTGACTAAATTGACATTTTTCACAGTGAGTGAACAATCTTTGTTGAAAATTAGTACTTATGACCTATTTCTGCAAGCACAAATGTGTTTTGTACCTTGGAGGTATACACTTGTAGAATTTCTTGCTCCAGATTTCCACACTAACATGCCATCTAGGATGAAACTCTGGCTAGAAAGAGCTGGGGGCTGAACTCTAAGGGCAGAGCTACATTGACCCAGTAAGCAGGCTCAATCCGGTGTTTCATCTTAATTCTGGAGTGTTTGGGGAAGGCTTTGAGACAATTTTAGGATGTACTTTGTACAACAATGAACTGGACTAGCAGTTAATTGAATTGTAACAGTGGAAGTGGGATAATATATCGTACCACACTGAGAATAGCAGACTAACTGAGGAGGTTTAGGACAGACTTCATGTTACACACATGCAACAATTTCTTGCTGCTTCTCCCCATCCATCAGCATCTGATGCCTGAGGAAGAGATGGTTCCTTCTACACTGACATATAATCCAGATAATCAAATGGGATAATATACATTATCTGCTTTGAACAGGATTATATGAGTCTACACTGCCATATAATCCAGCTGTAAGTAGATAATCTGGATTTTATATGGCAGTGTAAAAGGGGCCTA